CCTCGTTTTCCTTCGATTTAGAAGATTCGTATTATATTTATCTATAATCCTTCCTTTTAGAGCGAATTTCTAAATACCGTTTTTGTTCTATAATTGAAAATGTACTGTCGCTCTCTGCTTGTCTGGCACATATTAAAAGTACTAACTTCAAATGCAATTATCTTTTGAACATGCCTGATTACTCCCCCCTTAAAATGACGTACCCCTAGAAACGTACACTGAAAAAAAATATAAATCAATTTTAATAAATATTTTTTCTCAGCGTATATATAGAGAATATCGTCATATCTCTGAAGAGTAAAAGCTTCAAATAAATCTTAAGAAAAGTCATTTTGCGATACAATCACTTTAAAACGAGAGTATAAATGACAGAAGAATCATATTCGCCAGTGAATTTTCAGCGGAAAAGAGGAGATGACGTGAATATATACGGATACGGGAAAAAGTGAAAAGTACGTTCGCGTAAGCGAATCCCTATTGACGTCGATCTTTTTTGCTCTATCGACCAAAATTCCGAACAAGACAACGAATTCGCGGGAATATTACGGATCCTGTTGTGCGTGTGCGAGAAGCCTTCGTCAGTTATTTTAGCGTTCGTCGCGAGAAATCGATGTTAAGGACATTACATCCTCACCGTCGTCGTCGTCATCGTCGTCGCCGTCGTCGTCGCCGCATCGTCGCGTATGGCAGTTGGTTGAAAATCGACGAAAAAACGAGAAAAAGCAAGCGTGATCGACGAGAGAGAGAGAGAAGAGAAGAGAAGAAGCGTTTCGCGAGAATCGAGAGGGACGATCGATGAATATGGAACGGGAAAAAGAAGAAAAAAAAAAGGTTCCGCGAGCAGGAATAAGAACCTACGAAAATGTCGGCGAGCGATTCAGCATCGTGTAGACACGCGCACGGCGTCACCAAGACACGCGTAGTTTCTGCGAGTCCCCGGCACCGACGTAGATTCAATTTGATGCTAATACTTGCAGATGATATACCACAAAGGTATCAGGCCACTGATGAAAGTTAAACAGCCGGTGCGCGGGAGTGAATGGCAAAGTGGTATTACAACAACTTTCGTGTGCTCCGGCAAAGTATGCGTACAAACGGCGAATAATGCGCATCATATATATATATATATGTATATGCGACAATTTTCCTCGTTCTCCCCTTTCTTTTGAACAATATTACCGCGCAATTATTTATTCAAATATGACACGTTTTATTTAATCAAAGGTTTCCTTGCGGTGGTTCGTTTTGTAACGTACACGTAGGATGTTATAAATAATATTTTGCTGAAGTGTCTGCGTTCTAAAAAAAAAAAAACATCTAATTTTTGCCCCCTAAAAAAAAATAACGATATGAATTTAACACGCAGTATCTAGATAATTCTCACTCTACTAATATTAGCATCAACACAGTGAGAATTTATATACAGACAAGAGACCGCAAGGTATAATTCTTACTGTGTGTTGAAGTTAATATTAACACAGTGAGAGACTTATATAGATACTGCATGTTAAATTCATAGCGCTATTTTTTAGGGGGCAAAAATTAAATCTGAAATAATTGTATTAGACTGTCAAAACATTTATGTAGGATGCTGAAACTGGGTCAATGATTATGAGATAAGGATACAGTTATTTGTAGGTTGTGGGGTAAAACGGAAATGTGGTATTATGTGGCATAATTATTAAATTTTTACATGGCATAATTATTTAATTTTTCTATCTATTTTAATTTTATTCGCAAGGGATCAACTTTTTCAACAGTTTTATGTAAGTTTTGTAACATCTTTTTTAGAATGCTTATTGTATAGCTTCTTCTCGACTATTTTATAAGTAAATTAGCTTTCTTCTAGACTATTTATACCACATTTCTTTTATAAATATTTTTTGTAAATAAATTGTGAATAAGGGCATCACTAATGACGGACGTTGTATTTAAAATAAAAATAGAAATACAACGTGGAATTTTATTGATCCCTCATTAAATGTTTAAAAAATTATACTATTAGCGTTATCTGTCAGATCGAGTTTTCAAACATTTTTAATCAATAATCGATTTTACGACAAGAAAGCAAAATTACATAAATTAGGACTTATCCGTTCGTAATAAAAAGAAATTGGTACCTTCTATCAATTTAATAAGAATTTCAAATTTGAAATCGATAGAGTGAAATATACCTAATGTCTATCGATTCCCGACACCATTAGTCGTCAAACGATGGTCCAAGTCGTTATTTCTTTTCACAATATTACTGTTATTATTGTACAAAACATTATGTTGATTATTATTAATGATCGTAACATTAATTCGATTTCCTAAAGAATAATACATGCATTCAAGGTTTTCATGCATTCAAGGATTTATCTGGCGACTGCTCGACCTTACTTCTCTTTGATCTTTGCCCTATTTTTGTAAAGATCATCCCCGAGGCGTTACGATACTTCATCGACGTGCGTCATTCGGCGACCACCGTCCTGGCGACGACATTTTACTGCCTTGTCGGGGCTTCGTCATTTTATTTACTTATTTCTCTCTCTCTCTCTCTCTCTCTCTCTCTCTCTCTCTAACCCTAGAAAATAGTTCAACGTGGACCGCCCCATTTGCATGGATTTCAATCTCAAAGATCGTGAATCCGCGAGCGGTATCCTTTGGATAGACGTCGTCGTTACCCCTTTCTAGTTTGAATTAATGACTTAGAGGTATATCATGTAGCCTCCAACGGACGATCTCGAATATAATTTTAATTTCTTATTTCATTTTAAACATTTATTTTCATTATTCAAGTATCAATATTTTCTGTTATAGATATGCGATTTTCTGTTATCGATATTCTTTTATAGTGTCGGTGAATATAACATTCAATATCCTCGATGGAGAACTCTAACGCTTTAATGCAAATTCTCAATTTCAAGATTATTAATCCGTATGATTCGATAAAGAAACAGAGAGAGAGAGAGAGAGAGAGAGAAATTTATCTGTAGTCACAATTATTCCTACTTGGCGGATATTCAGGAGTAAAATGTCCGGACGCTTTGTGATGCAATTTATGTGACGATTATGAAAGTCAGGTACATATATTGAAACGCGTACAAACTGCTTTCGGCGAAACAGTAAAGCGAAAACGAAGCTTTTTACTGCTTCCTTCATAGAAAGGAGAGTTTCCGCGAATGGCGCCGGCGAAGTTGGAAAACTCGCCATACATACCGGTAACGCTAAGAAACTTTTAATGAAAATCGAGCAAGACTCTTTTCTATCCCGCGATCTTCCGTCCCGGGGAATGGATTCGAAAATGGTTTTTCGAAATTCTATCTATTCTAGATGTGCCGCGACACGATGTGTATCGTCTGTACAAACTAACGTACAGAATTCACTCCCTTTTTTTTTACTTATTTTTCGACACCTGTACAATTGAACCAAGGAAAAAAAAAGGAACAAATTTATATTCCACAAAAATATCGCGAATTGCACGAGAGAAAGTATAGTTCAAATGTGTCATATAATCTGAAATACGAGAGTCAAGTCTCCTAGTTATTTTCTCTATATAATCGATAAATTCTCAGATTTCAAAGCTAGCCTAATCATACTGAAGAGATTCCTTTGAACATACTTTCCTTACAACTTCGTACGTGGAAAGTGAGACTTTGAATTCTTATTATTTGCGCTCCAATGTCGAATTATGCTCAATTTGACTTATTTTTAACCGTTGAATAATTTAATTGAAGAAAGTGTACAAAGTTCGACTGAAATTATGATTTATTAGGCATACGTTAATGTAACGTTGTTTACATTGCAATCATGGAAATGAATTGATTTACATTTTGACGCACTTGAAAGTTAAAAATAACAAATGTAATTTACCTCAGGAGATAGGGTTACCATTGTTTCTTTGATGTTTACCAACGTTTGTCAGAGGTATACTGTTGAAAGTTTCATGAAATTTAATATACTTCCAAGTTACACAATTTGAATTTAATTTCATGACATTACATTAAATTTAATGTATTTATACCTGAAAAGTATATATTTGGTACATGTATTGTATATAAAATTTAATGTATTTTTCATGAAAATTTATGAAACTTGATGTAAAATTTTCATAAAATTTTATTAAATTTCGTAAATTTAATATACACACGTTCATTACATTTAAATATATAACAACTATTGTAACTTAATTTTCAATTAAATCATTCATTACTTTTAATTTCGTTCATAACTACTTTTTCATTTACACGTGAGAGAAGCATTTCTAACGGTGTATCTCGAAGAAAGTAAAATGTTTACTTTTGAGATATAAAGTTGTATATAAATTATAGAAATGAAATATTTAAGTATCTATTAAATAGTCTTATTAAACATTGTATTGCGGAAAACGCGCGAAGCATCTCTCTCTCTCTCTCTCTCTCTCTCTCTCTCTCTCTCTCATCTTTCTCTAGTCCCGCGGCCGCTTTGGCTCGTAAGAGTTCGATTAATAAAATCTCACGGCAATTGAACGAGCGTCGTAACGACGTCGGCGCCAGCGAGCTCGACGGAGGTGCATAACGATGACGCGAAAAGACGTCCCGATCGCAGTGGCGAGATCCGAGAGCCAGTAAGAGCGAGAGAAAGAGTGAGTGAGAAGGAAGAAGGGGGAAAGGGGGAGAGAGAGAGAGTAATAGGGAGCGGACCGAGGGAGAAGGAAAGAGACCGAAGATGGTTTCGCGGGATCGGTGGCGTGAGCGATCCACGCATGCGCGTTCGGGCCTTCGAAACTCGGCGCGCGTTCTCTCCGCGCTCTCGTCGTCGTCGTCGTCGTCGTCTGGTCGTCATCGCTGAGTTCGGTGCCGTGAGCCGTCAGTGGTGCACGATCGGTCGCGTGGTACGCACGTCACGGGTGCGAGTCGCGGGTGAAAAAGAGCCGAGAGAGTATAAAGACACTACGCGAGATACACTACTTTGGTACTCTGCTCTGCTTCTCTTCCGCTCTACTCGATTACTACTTCTGTCTTTTCTATCATTCCGTCTCTCTTCTCTCTCTCTCTCTTTCTCTGTTCCGTTCTCTCTTCGCGCGCGCGTCCCCGATTACGGTACTTAGAGTTTCAAAGAACGTACAACCTTCCTCTCGTTCGGCAACGAACTCGACGTGTCGGTGCGGCGAAATATCAAGAAGATTTGAACGACGAAGAGCGGCCCGGAACATGAAAACACTTGTGGAGAATCAGCTGTCCTGGCTCGCGCTGTTCATGACCGCCTTGTATTCTCGTGAGTATTTATCCTCCCTCTCGCGCGTCTCGCGTCTCTCGTCCTCTCGACGATCTCCTCGCACGATCGTGACGCGCGACGAGACCGGCGACCGGCGTTTTCGCTCTATTATATTATCATATTACAGCGTTACGGATATATCTCTCGGTCGTTTCTCAGTTGCCATTCGTTTCGCGCATTTGTTTTTTTCCTTTGATCTCGCCGTCTCCGAAGATTCAACTTCATTTCTTGCTTGCGATTGCAGGAAACGCAAGTAAGACGAGCTCGCTTTATCGTGACGATTCACGAGGATCTTTTAATTGAAGTAGATTCGCAGAGCTGAGTCGTACGATCGGTAGACCGCTCGGATCAAAATATCACGCGTCTAATTCTCATTTACGTAATGTTTCTCGAGTTTCGTTTTGTGATCCATCGCTGACGCGATGAGTTTTTCGACAACACTCCGTGTTGTTAATTTACGCAAAAGTTGCCAGCGTCTCTCTCTCTCTCTCTCTCTCATTTTTGCTGCTCATCCGCCGCCATGCGTTCCTCTGTTCAGTCCAGATTTCCTTGACGTGAATCCGCTGTTATCCACGTGTTTCGCTGCGATAACATTCAGGGGGTTATATGGGGGTTTACATCCGACGTGCGTGAAAGTGACGTTCGAGGGATGGCAGGTATTTCCGCGAACGCAATCGAGCCTCGTGCATTGTTGCCATGTTAATTGCGAAATTATCAAACGGAAAAAGTGATTTGCAAGGGGGAAAAAAAGACGCGCGATCATCATCACATCGCGAGTAAATTCGCACGCGTATAATTTCGCGTGCTCCAGTATTTTCTGACGTAAATAAATGCCTACTCGTGTTCCACGCTAAATAGACATATCCCGTCTTTAATTACAGCTATGAAAACCTACACCTAAGTTCTAAAGTTTAAAGCGTTCGCGTTTATAGTGCAGAATGCAAGAGAACAACCTCCGGCGATTGATACGCGATGGAAAGGATACGATTTCTTCGAAGTGTCTAAAAATTTAGCCAAATTCTACAGGTTTAAAAACTTATAAATTTCGTTGGACCATCGAAATAATGACGGAGACGCTCAAACCGGTTCCTAGAATATGAAAAAGTTTCGCAACATTATTCATTATGCTTGAGATTCTCACGTAATTACTTTCGGATCTGTTCCTAGCTCGATTTTTTTCGATACTTCAGCAAACAAAAATCTTGATACTTTCTGTAAACATTGTATAATCGTCCAAAAATTTTCGTGTCCAAATTTTTCCAAGCGATCCGGATTAATTCTGGAGAATTAATTCTGTATGTCAGACATTCTCGCGTCGAACTTCGGATTCGAAACGAAAGGAAGACAGTCACCATTTTTAGGACTCCGGTATTCATATAGTCAGATCTTGTATTCAAGACCGTCTTAGGGTACAGTCTTATAAAAAGTCGCGGGATCAATCAGGGGGCTCTATTAGCGTCTTAAAACATTACTTGAGACAGTCTTGAAATAAGAGAACGGACTATGAATATACCGTCCTAGGATGAAGTAACAAGCCTGTTCTTTTTAGCTGAACTTTCGCACCAGTTCACCTTCCTCCCTTTTCTCTTCGGATGAAAAGAAGGAGAAAGATGGACTGGTGCAAAAGCTGAACCAGAAAAGAACGAGGCCTATCGAGAGCCCCATTCTGCAACTCTTAACGACTGCAACGATATCGTTACATTGTTATTGCGCAGATTTTGTATGCAGTAAAAAAAAAGGCTACGCAACGACAGTTTAACGATATCTCGTTAGAGTTAAGTTGTTAAGTTTCTTTACGTAGAAGTCGTAGGAAACTGACCAGTTCTATTCTTCTTATATTCGACTGGTTGCCTTTCCTACGACTTCGGGACTCCACGACCGTCTACGACACTTCTACGTAGAGAGAACCCTTTCACAGAATATACAGGCCCTTAAAGTATCGCGCTCGACTCTCCTCTCTTTCGCGAGACGTAGGTCAAGGGCACAGGTTTCAAGTGCATAACGGCGGAGGAGGATCGACGGCGTAGATTAAAGCGGGGCGCGCGCGCGTTTGGGACACAACACGACAACGTTCGTCGCATTAAAATCCGGTACACAATCATTACTAACTGCGTCTTTCTCGAATTGAACGCGCGCGGGGTTGAACTGCTGTAAACACCAAGTCGAGTCGCGCGCGGGCGTTCGGAGTTGACGTCGGTCAGCGAAAACTCTAATCGAAAACACTGCCAAGTCTCTCGGTGAAATTAGAAACAGATACCCTTTGGGGTGGGGGGAAGGGTGTGTGTGTGTTTCGACGCCGCAATAATTTCTAGCGAAATTGACGTCAGCTTTTGACTTTCGAACTTTCCAAGACAATTTTTAACTGGGACTGAAAATTATAGTTGAGGATTAATCTCGCACGGAAATTAACTTTACCTTAGTTCGGAACGATCCCTCGTCCTTCCCCCCCCCTCCCTCCCCCCCGTCTAATTCCAGTTCCGGAGCGAGGGACAAACGATCGGTTAAACTACGGTTAAAGTTAACGGTCGACTCGGGTGGTGGGAGAGGTGATCGTAAAAAGGCGGGAAAAATTTCCCGCGTTGGAAAATGTTTCGCACGATTCAGGCTCGTTCCGGGCGAACGGCGGTAATTGGCCCCCCGCCGTAAAATTAGGGGGGAGGGGGGGGGGGGTTCGTTTAATTAGAGAGCGAAGATTGATACCGGCGTGCAAGCAAAAATTCTCTCAAGTATCGACCAAGTCTTATCTAATTAGGTCGCGCGCAGACAAGTTCGGGCGCTTCCTCTCCCGCCGTATCTTTGGCGGCGACGCGACGCTCCGAGATTATCGAAGGGCCTGGAGATTTTAGGGCGAAGGTAGCTTTTCGACAATTAGTGCCCCCAATTCCTGCCCCCGTGTTTCGCTCGTTCCGGGGGGGAGGGGGAGGGGGGGGGAGAGGTGTCGTTTATTTTCGCAGAGACGCGAGAATCGATTTCTGCTAATCTACCGATCCATCGGCGCCGCGGCGCAACAAAAATTTTAACGATTGAAAAGAAACGCTGTCAGACTGGTTTTTATTGTTTTTTTTTTTTTTATCGAGTCGATTTGAAAACCTAACGAAATATTAATTAACAGCGAAAAAGTGCTAGATTTATCCTCGTATTTTCTTGCGCCGTGTTATTCCGACGACGTGGGAAAAAAACACACACACACATTCGCACACATCACGTGATAAATTATCTAGAATTTACTTCCCCAAAGAGCGGTTAAATGGGGATAATTTAATTGGTGAAATTTTTAAACGTGTGTAACGTCTTGCTCGGGCGAGATTTAATTTTTCACTCGACACGTGCCGGAACGTCCGACAGACTGAAATAAAGAAATGGACTTAGAGCGGCTGTAACAGATTCAAATTTACCGTATCGATTAAGCTGGCATCCTTGAAGTATAAACGACCGACACGTGCCGGGGAGAGATATAGCAGCATCGCTATGAAGTGTCAAAAACATCTGAAGTTAGTCCGGGAGTCTGAATTCCAAATCACTTCTTGAGGCGGAGGCGTGACCCGCGTGACGCAATTGACGTGGGTTTAAAATACGAAAACGTACTCGGTTTCTCGCAAAGAGAAATTCCGAAACGTGCGTTTACGTTTCAGCGCGTGTCTGACGTTAGAGAAGTCGAGTGCGATGACGAGAATCGCGCGCCGGCCTTGAATTCATTCAGTATATTCGTTCTGTGCATCTAGCGCGCATGATGCGCCGCAAAAACGAGTAAACAAAACGATCCGCGAGTACATTGCGCTTTTTATTGTCCAGAGACGTGACGCAGTTACTTCATAAGTATTAATTCGTAGTACACACGATGACTTTATGGTTCGTAGTAAAAA